ATCACGAACACTAGTTTGTTTATATATATATATATATATATATATAATGTTGAAATGCTTGTATATTTAACCTAACTTTTTGGTTTTAGGACTGTTGTTAAAAGCAATCTAAAGTTGGATGAGAAACTGCTAACTAAAGATTTCAGATACAGAGTGGCCAGTGTTCAGAAGTCAGCTGATCAGGGGGTTCTTCTACGTTTGAATCCCGAAGACGACAGCAGTTCTTTAAAGACGTGTTCCCTGCAAGGTTTCTGGTAAGTTAGAAAATGTTAACTTCTGATTGTTTCTGCCATTCGTTTTTGGTTTTAAAAATGTGAGTAGATTATTGATCCTCTTTTTTTATTTATTCTTTTTTGAATGGTTGTATAAAAGCATAATTATAAAATGTTTCTGGTATTTTTCATTCATTACACTTAATATTAATTTATTAAGAAAGTAACTACAAATAATTCATACTCTAGAGCATTAACATTCTAAAAAAAATCCTTTAAATGTAATCTGAATTCAGTATTACAAATTTATATAATGAATTGCATGTACATATTGTATCAGTGTTCTTTCTTTGTATATCACATAACCCTACTTTTTTTTTTAGCAGAAACATTCACATCCAAGGAAGATAAAGCTTCATTATTCCCTCACACAGTTTTCTCCTCAGTAGATGTTTTTTTTATGTAACAAGTTCCTCTTTAATCTTTCCTAGATTAAATTTTATTATAGTAAACCCTATATAACCAAAATGATCCCCCTGAATGGCTCATTTTGGCAACATAAATAATTCTTTTGTTTCCTATAGGATTATAGATGAATCATCTAATCAAACCCTTCTTTTCTAATCTTCTGGATTAAATAGAGTAGATGAAATTTACAGTTTTTATTATGCTTTTAAGTTGGGTTTTTTACAGAGAAAAGTCAAACTTTTGTAATTAATCTTGGTAATTATTAGGAAATGAAATGTTAATTGATTTTTTTTCTTTTTTCGTAGGACAGACACATTGGTTAGTGAAGGTGACAATGTTCATGTTATTGCATCATTTGTTAATGGACATTGTGTTATAAATGATGAATATGGCCTTCTTGTGGTTAATCCTGATCATTTAGTCTCTAGTACTTCTGTTGTGTCATCCCTCTTTTGCATGAGAAAGGCAGTTCTGATGGAAAAGTTCCGTGGTTGGGAGAAAGGGAATCTTTCCATGCTACAAGGAAGTTTGATTCATGAATTATTCCAAGAGGTATGTGATTCCATGTGTCACTTAAAATGCTGCTTACTGATTTTTGTATTAGATAGTTGTTTAGTTTGAAGAGTCATCTTAAATTAACCAGTGACACCATGTCAGTACCAATATTCCCATGTCTCATCTTCTTTCACCAGTGTGCACAAAGCAGTTGTTTTTGTTTACTTTTCAGCTGAGCACAACTCGGCTAGTGTGCCAGCTCGTGGATCTGCAGATCCATTCTTTGCATCCTGCTATAAAAAAAGCGTGCTTCATACTCTGGGCCATTATAAGGTGATGGTAAAATCTTGCTGTTCAATTAGTTGAGTAGCCCAATAATTTGCAGTGAGTGCTGTTGATTAGCTGCCTTACTTTCAGTCCATCATGTACAAATTAGAGGTGTTTAGCACAAATAGCCCTTGAGTAGTTTGAATAAATATCCATAAACATATTTATTTTATTTTCACTAGGTTTCAAAAATACATTTTTTTTATGTGCCTTAGTTTATATTCTTTTCATCAAGTTGTACAACACTTAATTTTTTCATATTTCCCTTACTTTAACTTCTTTATGCCAAGTTATAAAATGCAGAATTATTCTTTATTTTCCTTTCTTTACATTATTTTCACAAAATTGTATGACAAAGAATTGCTTCCTATTTCTCTTCCCCTCAACTTGGATTCCTGTATGTGGTGAGGGGACCTCCCAGGGAAGGTTCTGTATTTTCAGTTACTTCTTCTGGGATCTAAACATCCACCCACGTGTTTGTCGTGCGTGGCAACCCGTGAAGGGGAGGAGAGGATCCTGGTGGTCACTCTCAGTTGAGACTATCAGTGACCTTATTCATAGTGAGATGCAGACATATTTAGTTTGGTGGTGTTCCTCCATGGGGCTCTGAGGCTGCATTTGAGGATGACCCTGGACTTTTTGAAGAGAATTTAGATTCACATTTTTCCTGCGCCTTCCTTTATTTTGTTGGCTTCTCAGGATTCTTTTCTTCAGTTGGTCCATCAAGTGTGTGTTGTCTTGGGTTTTCCCCAGTTTGCTTTTGAGCCTGTACCTTCTTTGATGACTGAAAGGTCTGGGACAAATACTTAGTTTTCCATCCATCCACTGATATTTTGATTCATGCAGGGATGTTTACTGCTCAGTTATGTGAAGGGACAGCTATGCCTTGTCTGCCATGGTTATCGGAACTACGTGACTTAGCCTACCACCACCAGATGAAAGCATATTCTGACTCTCAAGGAATACATCTGCTCCTGGAAATTTGGGGTTCTAGAGTGGAGTCTATAGTCAACCTGAATAGATCACAACTTTCTAGGATTCGTCTCACTCTATATATGGTGCTGAGATATTTATTATCCCTCTAACCTTTGTTGGAAGGCTCAGGATCAGCAAGTCCATTTGATGACGAGTTGGGACGATTGTTAGCATGCACATTGGTTCGATTGTCAGCATGCACATTGGTTCGATTGTCAGCTTCTACATTCACCCCTGTAGTTGTTGGTGTCTCTACTTGCCTCGACTCTTACAGGGGGTCATAGTTCCGCCCGTATTCAAGAGTTCCGACATCAACCCCTTGGTCCTTTGGAACCCAGAATAGATTGTCCATATTCATGGGTTTCTCCGCTCTGTCAGAATGCTGCCAAATGCGATCCTAGATTCCTAGATCTTCCAAGGTTCACAAGCGAGTCATTCCTTACTCTGCATTGACATTTTTTTGTAGGATTGTCGATGTCCAAGTTCAGTGTCGCCGACTCCTATCTATACAGTTACATAATGGTGCCATCCTGCCACTATCTGCATTTTATGCACAAGGGTCAGGTGCTGCAGTTCAGGGCTCTGCCCTGTGGACTGTCATTAGCACCATGTGTGTTCTACTGAATCATACGAGTTTTTTTCTTGTCACCTCCTTCAATGGATGACTGGTTACTATTGGCACCATCTCGTCATTCGGTAGAATGCCACACCTGAATTCTACTTTAACTCTCCCAACACGGGTTGGGCAATTGACCGAGTCACATGACCTTTTGTACTTGTGTAAAGTTGATATAAATTTAATACTTATAACTCTCTCTATATATATATTGGGTATATCTTCACGAAATTTGGCAGTCTTTCAGTTAATATTACAAGTCTTTCACATGTAAAAATTCATATTTCATAGTGAAGTATTTTTAATAAGTTTTGTCCATGAATATATTGAGTATTTGTTTGGAATAGTCCGTGTGTAAAAATAATTTTCATGTTGAAATTAAAAATACTTTTTGTCATCTCAAAAATCTCAAATTTCCTTTGTGTAATCCCTAAAACTTCCTAAATTCTTATAATTCCAGAGACAAGTGGAATTTACCTTACCCACTTGGTTGGGTAGTGAAGATGTGTGTTCATAATTCTAGACCAGATGACTTCTGTTTCCTCAGGTTGAGTATGGCATATAGGATCCCATCATTCCGAGTTTGGGATGTTGCCTTTCATACTTTTCCAGGTTGGGGAGAAGGTTTGTCCACTTCAGTGTTGCTTACCTTCTCATTGTAATTCTGGTGGCTCGGAATGTATCACTCTCTGGCTAATGGTTGGGATCCACT